CAAATGAATTGAGATTATCTAAAGGTAGATGAGATTGAAGTTGTTGATGAACTTGTTGCAATTGTGTTTGTTGATATTGTTGCCACGCACGATTAGCTTCATCAAGTTGCGTACATTGAGTTGTAAGGTTAGCGAGATTTTCACGAAGCTTACGAATTTCTTCATCATGTTCATTCATAAGCATAGGTGCAGATGTGAGATTATTAATAGATATTTCTTGAGATGGTGATTGTTCATGTATTGAATGAATATATTCTTGTCGTTGTATATTAATGTTATTAATTGGCTCTGAAGAACAAGACAAAAACAAAATAATTGTTATATAAACAAAATAAATTCATACCAGATTCGAAGTCATTATGAAGCTTTTCAGTTGTCTGTATATTATTATGAATGAGAGTATCACGTTCATTTACTAATTGTTTAATATGATCAACAATAAGCTGTGCTATTTCATCAAACGAATTACTATTATTGTCAATTGGTAGACTATATTGAAGTTTATTTCGAAAACTTTCAAGTTGATTCTGTTGAAATTGTTGCCATGCACGATTCGCTTCATCTAATTGTGCACATTGATTTGCTAATATTTTCATATCTTGTCGAAGTTTATCTTCACGTTCACTATCTGGTGTAGTTGTTGCTAAAAATAAAATAATGAATGTTTTTTTTTCAAATAAATCAAAAATATACCTTGTAATTCAATGACTCGATTGGCTAGTGTATCACATTCATTTTCTAAATTACGAAAACGATTTTCAATTTGTTGTAGAAGATCATCAAAAGATAAATTATCATCGGTATCATTGCATAATTTACATCGATCACGTAATATTAATAATTGATTTTGTTGATATAATCGCCATGCTTGATAATCTTGATCTAATTCTTTATATTGAATAGTTAAATTATCAAAATCTTGCTGAAGTTTATCACGTTCATTATTCAATTCCGATACGAATTCAGCTGGTGTCTATAAAAAGAAAAAATTTAATAAAACAAATATTAAATCAATATTAACCTGTAGTAATTGTTCACTTTGATATTGATCATTTGATATGGGTATCAATTGATCAATAGGTTCATCATTCAAATGTTTTTTTATTTCAGTTTGATAACTATCTAATTGTAATATATATTGTTTTTTTTCTTCATCTTGAATTTGTATTGTATTTAATAATTGTGAACATTGTTCTTGTAATTCTTCGATTTTTTGTTGATCATGATTAATCGAATTTTTTAAATGTTCAATTTCTTTTCGATCTTGTTTATTTATTATTTGTAATTGTTCATAATCTTGACGTAATAATAATTCACGTTGTTTTATTTGTTCTTTTTCTATAAGATCATTTTCAATTTGACGTAAATAATCCATAATTTGTTGTTTTTCTTGAAACATTCGACGTTGAATCGTTGATAATTGAGAACGTACTTGAACATTTTCCGAACGAAGCATTTCAATAGTTGAACCTAGAATTATATCAGTTTTGTCAAAACGAATCGTAAAATTTTCGTTTCATAAACAGCGCTTTCGCGAATATTTTTGGGTTGAGGGAGGGCAGTGATTCTCCCCCCCCCCCCTTTTATAGACTATCTGGATGTAAGCCAGTGGTTTATCCAGCGGAAGGGAGCACGGGGCTTTTTGCCCTCTCGGAGGATGCCCCTGCCCCCCCCCCCCCCACCAGAAGAGAGATTTCTGCCCTCCCGACAGTTAAATTCGCACCCTCGGACGAAAAAGGTTAGATAAAACACTGATGTAAACAATGGTATCTCTTGACTGAAATTTAAATCTTAGTCTTAATGAATTATATAGTAAGTAATCAACCCTTTGAGACTCCTGCTTTAACCTATGGACGAAATCTCTTTTAAACTTGATATTTTGTATGAGCCTTGGGCATTATCGACACTTATATCGACGCTTTAAAAAAATATTTCAAGTCATTTTCAGTTTTAACCACTTCCTCGCAGCTGTACGGACAGGAGCCAAAAACTGACTCAGTAACCTTAGTAGGGTTTTCGCTCTCACATAAATATGTGTGTCAAAGTCTCTTCTATGTCGTAGTGAAAGCGACACTTCGTTATTGCTCTGCATTCGTGAATTAGTTCGAATATATCAGATTCCTACAACTTACATAGAAGGTTTTCAAAAAATGAGTCATAATTAGTTTACTATCCTTCCATTAAATTAAATCAGAATTTTTTAATTTATCTCTAATGTTAAATAATTTACACTGATAGTGAATCATAAGAAATCTAAATAAGTGAACACTTATATCGTTCAATTGTATACTTGAAACTATAACAATTGAAAAGAAAACCTTGTAGTTGATAAGCTGTATGTTGTTTTGTATTTGGCTATATCATTTTTCTTCAATGATTATTTTTCTATTATATTTAGTATTGAACTTGAAGATGATAATTAATATTTTCTTACTATCAATCTTTCAATCAAATTTTGTCAAGACTAATTTTCGTATCAATCAATGATTGAAGGTCAATTTTGAGTTTTCTTGAAATATATAATTCAAACTCGATAGCTAATCCGATATTTTCGTCAGGTAAATTAATCTTTTAGAAAATTACCTTGCTCAGCAATTTGTACATTTGCTTTTTGTAATAATTTTTCTAAATCTTGTTGATTATGTTGACTTTCTTTGATATCATTTGTTAATTTAATACGTTCTGTATCAATAATTTTACAATCATCTTCTAAATTATGAATTGAAATTTCTAAACGTTGTTTAATAAGTTTATGATTTTGTAAATCAATTGTTAATTCATTTATCTTTTGTTTTAATTCATCAATACTATTTATATGTGATTGTGTATCACATTTATATAGTGTTATTTGATGTAGAAAATTCGTATTTTTATCTTTAAGTAATTCATAATCTGTTTGTAATTGTTCAAGAATATAATTTTTTTCTTCTAAAGATTTTTGTAATAAATCAATTTTCATTTCATCATTATTTAATGATTTTTGTGTTTGATATTCTAAACGTTCTTGTAAAAGAACACGTATTTCTTTACGTAATGAATTAATATAAGTTTGAAATAGATTACGTTCTTTATCCCATTCAAGAAAAAGTATATCATCTGATGGTATATCAGGTTCAGATTGATTTGTTGACAATTGTTTATTTCGATGTAACGATGCAAGTAGATCTGTTTCAGAAAATGATGTTTGACGATTTAATGAATTTAATACATATTGTTTATTATCAGATATATCAGAATCATCTATTGATGATGAATCAATATAAGGTATAGATGAAAATTGATTAGAATCACAAGATGATATAGGATCATATTCTTGTTGTAGATCACTTAATGATGATATGGAATTTCTTGATGTTATTGGTGTATCATTATCTATGGTATTTGCTGAATTTTGATTTAATTTAGTTGTAAATTGTTCGAAATTTAAAGATGGTGGTTCGTGTACATTTTGTTGTTGATGTGTCATTGTATAAGATTAATAATTGAACTATTTTCATTCGAAAATAGACTAATATCCGTTCTGATTTTATAAGATAATATATGTCAATATACTTGAATTATGTCACGATTGATATAATACATGAAAAACAAAATACACACGGTTTGACAAGGTCAATTTAATGTTTCTATAACTAACTACGGAACGGATAACTAAAACAATGACAAGAAAATCTAAAATTTGAAAGAAATCAATATTAAATGAAATAATAGAATAACTGGTTGATAACTCAATCAAGCATAACTCACTGCAGTATAGTTATCACTGTCTTCTTCACTTTCATTAAACAACGATGCGCTTTTTTTTTTCTTTCGCTTTCGCACTCACCATCGTTGTACACGCGTCGTTTCGAGAATGCATTCTATTGGTTATCATTCACCATTCATAAAGTATGTAGACCTCATTGAAAAAAATCTATAAGAAAAGATATTTGTTCTTGACTGTCAAATGAAATTC